GGTATGCCACACGTTATGGAGCACAATATCTCGATAGAACTTGCGGTTAATGGTTCACAACACGATATCGGAGCACAATACCCCGATATAATACGCGGTTATCGGAACAGAATACGACATCGCGTGCATATTGGTGACCGACGTGGACATACTGTACGGCCACACGGTATATGAATATATATGGGTTGTCGATCATGGGCCCAAAGGTTAAATACATTATGATATCGCGTGCATATATGTCAGAACGGATACCAAGTTACCAACATGAATTACTTCGGCATATACCGCGGGGTAAGAGGAAACGGAGCACGATATTGAGTGTTCGTGAAGCAACATGTGGATATCGTTATGCCCACATATACGACATCGCGTGAATGATATCGTAAAACAGTAGGAGTTACCATACGGCAATACGAGAGAGAACGATATTACAGGTGCTAAACACGGAACAGAAACGTTCTGCGTTGCGAACACATTAACATTGATCGAAAGCGCAAATACATACGGTTGTTGGTACGGCAAACAGTACACGCAGCTTCGCGCGCTAGAAATGCCAAACAAACCCAATTGCCATTCAGAATAACTAGCTGGAGCACCAGCGACCTAACTTCAACACCTCTGATGGAGAACACTAGCACGTTTCACAATTCACACATGAAGATATATCAGCAAAGAACCACCCTCTGCTAAAAGCACTGGTATATTTCACATCATACACTGGAATGTTGCGTTTACGGAAGCCTTCTTCATACACTATTCAGGTCCTTCTCTTCAAAAGCTTTATAGCGCGGGCAGAACGGGTCCTGAGGGGTTTTTACCGCTTGTACCACGACAATTTGTTACACTCCGACCCCTGTGACCAGGAGGAGACGCATACAGCCCCACCGCCACGTCGACATCAAACACGTCAGGCCGAGCCGTCCCGTGAAACCTAACAATTTTCTAGCCCACTGTAATTGCAATGGAACTAAGGCACGCGCAATGTTTCACGGCGTTCCGACAAAAAAGGGCTAAATTTGGACCCGTTTCTAGGCTACACTTTCTTATCTGGGCCCATCTCTGCGGCAGCGATCCTGGTCTCCGTGGCTGAAACGCGTTACCTACGTGCGCCGCCATGCATCGCTCGTAGAAAGGGCTAAATAAGAAACCCTCCGTACTGCCACATGAGGTTTGAATTTTGGACGTCGTTGCCGGTGTAAAGACGCAGCTTTGAGGGAAATTAACATACTTGCGTTTGAATACGAGTGATTGAGAAAAGTGCGTTTTTTAAGTCTCTTGTGACCGCTTATGACCACCTCCGCAACAGCGCATACGGTCTTAAGTCTTCGCAAGAGGCTTATGAGCCGGTCTTGCCTCAGTCGGTTGCTGTCGGTTACAAGTGTGTAAACGGGCTTTTAAGAGGGTTGGGTGGCGGAGCACGCGAGTTGCGCGATTTGGCCTCTTGAGGCGGGATTGTTTGCGCGTAGACGCTCTCCGATAAGAAACCGCAACTTAGAAACGCGTCAAAATTGAGCAAGTTTTCGAACGCCACAAAATGCTGCGCGTTCCACATGCAAATGTAATACAAGTAAATTCACTACTTTTGAATGATTCGCATCAAGTTCTTTTATTTAAAATCGTACTTTGAAAGTTAACGTTAAAAATATAATTACTAGAAAGTAATTATCAAATTATATAGGCCCCTAATCATTTTCCAATTTTCCATAGTGGGCTCTTTGGGACAGACCGCTACGTCGTTAACCTTTTTTTCTGAGTGATGCGTAATTTTTGTAGGAGCGATTTGGTCCGCTTTTTCATGAACACCCTGCATATAATACTCGCAAACTACTGCGCCTCATTTAATTGCGCAATGTCCTTTCCCAGATGTGTTCCCAACATCTTTTGCCCCTCAACGAGAGAGGTGCTCTGGCGAGCGTGAGCTTCATGACCTACTGGACAACCGGCTGAAGATAACCTTCTCAATTTGCTACAAAATCTGAATAAACAAGTTGTTTCGGTTGTTTGCGACATCTCTATTAGCATAATGAGGTGCCACTCACCCGGCTGCCGGCCTTGCCAGTAAGAGGTATGTGAGCGGGTTGCTGGAAGGGGTGAGAAATTGTTTTACTACAGAAAGTCGGCTGGAACGGCCTTCTTCACGCGAGTCAGTGGAACACTCGCCCCGAGCGAGTAACCTCTCGTCTCTAATGCAGTTTCCTAATGATCGCTAACAACAACAGCGACCTCACGTACGCCAAAAGTGTGTCGAATGTCCGCTTTTGGGCATCGGCGGGGTCAGTCGGTCCCGTCCAAGCCGTGTCCCCCGTTTCCCTTTGAGGGACCGAGCAGCTGGGCCTTGACGACAGGTTTTTGGGAAAGCCACCCCCCCCCCCCCCCCCGGCCGTCGCGTACCGCCACCGTCACTCCGTTTGTTATGGGATTTCGTTACGGTACAGTATAGTTTCACGCGGAAGCGGCGGCTTAAAGGGCGATTCACACACTTTCGGGAGAGCGACCACAACGGCTTTCGACGTACGGGTAGCTATGGCAACAGCTACGTCGGTTCCAACAAACGGGGCAAAGTCCGGTCTTGTTGGAGCCGACCCAGCTGTCGCCATAGCAACCCTACACTCCCAGAAAAAAAGGGTGTATGTGACTGTATCGCGCACCCTTACACCCCCTTCGACCGGAGACACCCGGCGAGCGTACTCGCACTCCTATCACGCGAATCCTCCTCTCCCAAAAGGAATCGGTGGGCGAGGCGAATGTGCTGCCAGGTGCAGCATTGCACCACCATGCACAACAACCGGCTAGCAAGCCCGAGCCTTATCGATTGAATCCAGATGGAATTTTTGAAGGCTCCTTTTACTTCTTACATAATTAGGAGAAAGTCGCCAACATATATTTTGTTGTATATTTATTCCACCACAATATAATGCTGTCAAAACAGAGGCCAGACATACAAAGCTTTCTTACGAAGAAAAATGTACGTACGAAAAAAAAATGTAAGAGATCCGTATTCACGAAGCGAAATGATCGCGAAGTTTTACGTGACTTACCAAGGTATACGAAAAGAGTTCTCGAGCTGTCTTCCGCACTTTTTTGCAGAAGACATGTCCTGGTCGCTCGCATTTTGCAGCGACAAGGGAAAGAAATTTTCTAAATAGTCTTCGACTTCGGACACGTTCCGACTTGAAGTAGTGAAGGGAAAGAAAGAACTTCAACTACACGCCGATGATTCGCGGAAGCAGTCACAGGAACCACTACGCTCTTACAAAAAAAAAAAGTATCGATGGCCCTCCCTAAGGTAGGAACGGTCGATCTTGTAGCCTATGTTCCTTTAGCAAGGGAGAAACTTTCGTTCCTGAAGCAGGGGAGCAAATAGTTCCTTCGTCGCCTGCATCTCATTATGGCGGCCCTGAATCGAGCAAATCGAGATCAGTGAGGCTTAACGAGGACGCTATGTCTCTTGTACGGGACGAGAAAAGCAGCAAACAAAAGCGTAACACGACCTTTCCGCGAACTGTGTTTATTTCCGAAGCCAGATTCCCCCCACAGGTACTGAAACTTGAGTTTCGAAAGCAGTTACTCGGTCTTCTCGTCGACAGCACTGCGATGTTAAACGGAGAAAAGCGATACCCAGTTACTTGGCGCACTTTGCGTCTTACCTTTGGTGTTATTCGAGTTACAATTCTTTCGCCAACCGCACATCCCGGAGAAATGGCAAACCAATCCGCGAAACCAAAAGCCGCTCTTGAAAGAACAAACTCGAAGCCGCTGTTTATCGCGTAGCGTGAAAGAAGGTAAAATCACTTGTCACCAGATGGCAGTGTCAAGCAGAGTGATTGCAAGTTGCTAGGCTAGGTGGCACTAAATACCGCCCAAGTCATGTTCTACAAAAAATAATTTTATTTTCTCAGGCCAGTATTGCACATCAGAGCCGTATATGTAGAGAGTTTGGCCATTCGTTGGGAAGTATAGGAGACAAATGAGGAGGCGTCATTTGCCGAAAGCGGGCTGGGCGTGTTCCAGGGCGTCTTCAGAAATTCGAATGTGACCAACCAGAAGCCGGAAATAATACTCTGATAGTGGTCGTGAACGTGTTGTGTCGTTTACCCGCAGTCTCGGGATTTTTTCAACCATGTGCAATGTACACCAGCTCGTTTGCGCCCTCACTTTTTGTTCTGATAACTGCATTAGAAGCTTCCCCTGCCGTCCTTATCTTGACGACTGAAAATACACTCTAAAAAAAATCCGTTCTTGAAAGGTTCTTCGCCGCCCCAAGAACTCTTTTTCCTCGTGAAGAACTGTTTTCGCTCAAACAGTGTCGCCCCCTGGCGCACCAGAAAGGCGACCGGGCGATGAAGAACGTTTGCCTGGAAAAAAGTTCTTCATAACGTTTTTATTTTTTTATTTTTTTTTTTTTTTCGAAGAAGCGGTTGCGCGCGAAGGAGTGCCGGTGGCGCCGCCAGCGCCGCTGCGCCGCGCTGTTTGCCTGCGTGAGATTCTGTAAAGGCGAAAGTAACGGCGGCCAACAATTCGGGGTTGCTGTTTACTGTTTCGACCTGGTTCTGCGGGCGGCATTCAATGGATGGGGTCACGGTGCGAGAACATACAAATGTGTCTAGATGGAAGCTCCAGGACGTGTCAGATTGGTTGACAAAGCAAAACCTTGGAGACTTCGCCCAGAGATTCGAAGGTAAGCCGAATGCTCCGTCCTCTTTGTTTGTGTTGGTTGGCGGCGTCGGTTTCGTCTCGCGTTTTCAGTTTCCAAGTTGAGTGCCGGTAACGGTGGCTGATCGGGGTCTCGATGGCGCTATCTTTCCGTACTTCCATGTGCACGCGAATATTTTTTGATGAAACTTGTAGTGAAGTGTGGATATTTGGACATGTTTTGTGAGCGAGGAAGTACTTCCGGGTCTTTCGGCGATTGGTGAGATTTGTCGTCGTTTGTGCGATTTCAGCATGAGCGGATACGAGTGTTCAAAGTTTTCGGAGTGCTACAACATCGGGAGTCATCGGACAAATCATGTCCAGATAGCTCATGGTGACCCGGACTTTAATTCTGTTTGCAAGTTGGGTGAGTGCTCTCCGTCTAGACGGTATTTTATTGCATTTGAGAGCTTCAGGAAGCACATGAAACGTAAAAATGTCGAGGGAGGATCTGGGGAACTAGAAAATGGAAGCAGTGGGGGGGTGATGCATGCCACTGCTTTATGGTTGTCCCCCCCCCCCCCCCATCTTCACTCTCTTTATACTATATTTGTGTACACCATCGGAATAAAAGGGTAGAAAAATGTGGTATAACTTCTGTCATTAACATATATAACATATATGTATGATGTAAACTGTTTGTGCGATATTTTATCTCCCTTTATGCAGAAGAGGTTGATGGGAAGACGTTACTAAACTTGTCAGTGTGGATGATTGAGCAGTCGCTCCCTGCTATGAAACTGCGAGTCAAACTGCTAAAACTGATTGAACAGCTAAAAGGAGACATAAAAGAAAGGTGGGGCACATTACCCAATTGGAAATTTGCGTTTCATTTGTGAAATTCGAGATGCACTAATTACATTGTTATCTTTCAGCTTGCCTGGACCCTCCAATGTGCCTCGTGCTAGTAACACAGCAACCTCAGTTTGGTCTACAGAGGTTGTAAGGAATGTATGGCCACAGAGATATACTCTCCCATAATTTCCCTCGCTGAATTTTTCCTTCAACCACAGTGAAATGAAGCACGAACAAAGTTGGTTGCTGCGTTGGCAGACGACATTCTGAGCAAAACTCCGAAAGCAGCAGCATTTGAAGTCCTCAATTATATATCTTAAAATAGAGGCTAACATTTGTTGTTTTTTCTTTCCAGAACGCCAAGTCGGTCTTAGCGAGATGATGTCATGCGTGCCCTCCAAGCGGCATACCCCTTCCTGGCCGACTCCACTGCACGCTGCGTAAGATTTACAAGAACTTGTTTTCATTCTCACAATTGAAATGCTTGTATCGAAGTTCATTATCTGCATTCTAACAGGCTTGCTACTCATCAGTCTCACTGTAGGATTCACTGCGACACAGCCTTATTAACAAAATGAAAAAAAGAAAGGTTGCTTCTTATGCATGTGCCAGAAGTTCAGCAAAACAAGGAAAACTATGGCAAAGGTGGTGGGCGAAAGCAAAAGGAAAAACGCCAACACAGTGACTGTATTCAAAAATACAAAAGGACCATGGTAAGTTTGTTACAACCTGGTTCTGATACAGTTAAAAGAAATAAAACTAACCTGGAAGCGGGAACTGTTCTTAAATAGTTATTCAGCTAAATGAAGTTATGTAATTGCTGCACCATATACTTCAAAGTGCTTAGCCTGTTACATTTTGCCAAAATGAGAGGAATCTTTATACAGTTTTCAGTTGCCCGTCCGGAGGAATGGTTAGAAGCTTGGGATTACCATACCAAATTCGGCTTTATTGTTTTTAAAGGGTATATTTATTGTTTGCATGCAGATTCTTGTTATGAAGTCTTAAATATACGACATTGATATTCACAATCAAATGACGAAATCTTTGTTTTATTATAACCTTTAGAACTGTAACAAAACATCACTTTGAGTACTCAAAATGTTTCTATTTTTACATTATTTTATTTTAGTGGTGCGTACTGTTTGCTTTACTTTTGATTCCGTACCTAAAACCACCATTCACAGCAGTTCATACTATCCATCATCACTCAGACTGTTGTTGCCTTGTCTGGTGCTTCTATGTTCAACTAAGCAGATAGTGCTTTGTTCGAGAGAATCAAACTTGTCAAGCAATTGACGTTAACAAGAGGTTCCACAGGAGTGGGAGGGCAAAGTACATGGGGTTTTAGTTGAGCATGCCAACACATTAACCGTATGATAATATTCACAGTGGTAAGAATAAAGACGAAGTTTTTGCTTACTTGCCAATACATCTTTTAGCTGCTCCTAAACATACTTTTGGCTACTCCTAAATGGACTTCTGACTACAGCAACAGGTGCTCCAAAGTGACTTGAACGAATCACATTGCTGTAAATGTAATCTGTTAAAGTCACAGTTGCATGGCTTGTCAGATATATCAAATACTCTCTGGTTGTCTCTCGGTTAAATCTCTTTTGCTGCATTGAACTGCCTTATCATAGCTAAAATATAGAGTGCATATAACTTGATCTATTTGGACCCGTGCACCCACTGTTTAAATTACAATTTTTTACATAACATAAAATAAGGCTTGCTGGAGTTCGTCTGGTACACAACTTTGTTCTTCAAATCTCATATTGTGTGCATGGCACTGACTTTTTTTTTTCAGGTTCCACATCATGACGTAGAAGGTACCGACAACTGTGGAGACCACGTAGAGATTATGGCTGCTGAATGCTCCAAGGCTGCAACAGATGTGAAGCTCTTACTTCAAATAATAGCACAGACGTCACAGGCAAGGAGGGTAGACATCGCTGGCAAGACCACCACTGATGTTATTTAGCTGTACCCGGCCCTCTGCATTCCCGAAGTGGTAATTTTAACGCCTTTTCCACTAAACTTTCAAAGCAATAGACAGCCTGAATGGTGGATCAGTTTTGTCTGGTTTTGAGTTACTTCAAACCTAAAAAGGGTATACTAAGAGACTTAGGCACTGTCTAAATTCAGCTAACAGCCTGGTTTGCAGCTGCCTATCTGCACTGCCGTTGTGCTCTTTGTCTGGGTTTAACACCTGTTTGTGCCATGCGGCCTCGGCGCCTCGCAGTGTGTGGTTGGAGAGGGGCATCATGAGAAGGAAGGGGTCAGAAGTCTTGTTTTGCCGCAATTTCATTTTTCCTGCTTCCACACCTGAGTAGTTGCCTCGTCCATCTTGTCTCCAGGATAGCATTTTTATCCATAAAGTATACCTCAACAAGAAATGGTTTTGAAGTTTTTCCAAGTCAGTTTTTGTTTTCTTTTGCTAGTGGTCAAATAATAGATCTGAGCTCGCTAACGTGCCACATATGAAATCAGACATCTGGAACGTTGTCTAAATTTTCTCAAGGCCAAAATTTCAGCGTCTCATTTCAGTGTTCCACTAGGCCGTGTTTTATTTGATCCATATTTTAGGCAGAGAAGCATTCTACCAATGTGCTAAGTTGCAATCTAGTCATGTTCAATAAACGTCCGTATGTTTTTTTTTTGTGAACCGCGGTATCTTGTCTTCATTTCACCATTGACAGGTTGGACATTGCAGATCATCTCTTGTTTCTCCTACCTCTATTCCCTATACCTCATACTTGGTCTTGACACGAGTATCAACGATGAATGTGTACTTGAATACCCATCCAAGCCAGTGGTTCTGCAGTAGATGTAGTGCCCCAGAGAAGGAGCCTTGTCGTTCAAAGCCTGTTTTGCACGTCTGTTGACGTTTACAAAACGTCTAGGTGATGTATGTTGCCTCTTTGAACAGTTCGAGACAGTCGATAAAGAGCGGTTTACAAAAGAGCTACTGTACACCTAAAATTGCTGCCCAACTGGCTTTTTGCGAATAAGTTATTCAAGCTAACTCGAAAGTGGTCTTTGCAACAAACCTTTCATTGAAAATGTTCATAATAGAAAGCTCTTTCGGTGAAAAGTAACTTAAAAGTTAGGGGTGAGCAAGTAGTGGTTGAAATGAAATCCTTTGTAGTTTTTTTTAGTTCTGTCTTGGATGGAACGGTTTGTCATCGAATACCTTTGCAAGCTTATAAGGTCTTTCAATTGACCAGTAAAGCATGAACATCTTTATGGAGTTTTTTTAGGGTCTAAGGAAATAACAGTGCTAAATAAACTTTCAAGGGAACTTTACTGTTGGGGTGTGCGAATACCCCTCGGTTCAAATAGCACAGAGATATTTCTAGATTCAAGAAGTCCACTGTACACAATGACTTTCATTGCAGTGTTGAACCTAGAAATATCGCTCTTCTTTTTGAACCGAGGGGGTATTCGCACACCCAACATAAAAGTTCCATTGAAAGGTTATTTAGAACTTATTTCCTTAGACCCTAAAATAACTCAATAAAGGTTCTTCATATTATTAACTGGTTAATTAAAAAAGAGCTCATAAGAACCTTCCAAAGGTACTTGATGAAAAATCGTTTCATCCGACAGAGAACTAAAAAGAACTGTTTCAGCGACACAAGGGCTGGAAAGAACTTTTTAAACGTTCCTCACGAAGAACTGTTCCATTGAAAAGAGAACTTAAAAGAACTGTGAAACGGTTCTTCACCAAGAACTGTTTTAGCGAGAGAAGGGCTGAAAAGAACTTTTTAAAAGTTCCTCACGAAGAACTGTTTCATTGAAAAGAGAGCTTAAAAGAACTCCTTAAAGGTTCTTCGTGAAGAACTTTTTTATAAGGTGCTTAAAAGAACCTTTACGGGTGCAAAATATGGACAAGCCGAAGAACTCCAAAAAGTTCTTTTTCGAACTGATTTTTTTTAGTGTGTATGGCACACGTGATGCTTCAATCAAGCTCATCCAAAATGATGGTGGAAGGGTGCGACTAGCGGAACGATCGACATAATCCGTACCCCAAGCGCCGAGGGCCGGGAATCTGCCGTCCGAGCGGTCACACTCTGTCCGAGCAAAACAGAGTTGAGCAGCGCATTCGTTTCTTACATTTTTCTACATAATCATGATCAAAACAACACGTGCACCCTATTTTCAACCACGAAGAGTTACTACACTTCCTACGCGCTTAATAAAAGCATTTACGAACATAGACCTTTGATCAGAACGGTTTCTGGCTACCACCGCTAGGGGATTCTTTTTGGTTGGTCAAGAGAGCATGCCAAGTTCTCTTTCCGAGTCTGGCGCACGCCCTGGTTCTGTCCGCGCCTCCCATTGACCAAACTCTCTACATATGCGGCCCTGTTGCACATGGGGATCCTCAACTATACACACATTACGTATCGTACAATCATCAGGTGAACATACATTGAGGACATACATACAGGGCACATACAAACATCAATACAACGGCACACCACACTAGCCCGAATACTACACCCGTTCTCTGTGTTTCCGTCTTTTATACGGGTCTTTTTGAACGTACGGAGTTTTTCGGTGACTGAATCAGCAACAAAAAATATTACCAGCATGTTGATTTTTTTCCAGCAATGTCATACCTGTGAGAGTATTTGGAATGGCTTAGGGGATGAATCTCTCATTAAAAAGCAAACGCTCGATCACGCCGTAATTATTTGAAAGCAATAAATCAAGCCGCTCCAATGCGGTTCGAAGCCATGAGTTTGTTTTTCCGCACGGCACGCCAAAGCTGCAACTGCCGTTTTCAATTAATCTCTGTAGAGCGGATATTCACTCAGCTGGAAGTGATGCTTCACGGGCTGAGAAATCGCTTTTCGATCACGATCAACTTGAATGCAGTAAAAGCCGCGATGGCCGCGTCTTGCGGCCGGTGTTGAGTGTACGGAGCTACGCCGTGGCGAGCTCGAAGACTTTTAACGCTCATCCCAGCGCCCCACTTGGAGGACAGTTTCTCCAGAGACCGTAGTATATTTAAACAGCAAAATAAAGGGTAGCTTTTTTTTCGATTTTACCTACTACTGTTTTGTAATGCTAAAATTCCACACAGTAAATATACGTAATTTCCGTCACGAT